GCATGGTGACACGATTTTGTGGATTAGTTGAAGTTAGACATAAACACAGTTGGACCACATCCTGTTCATTGGTCTAAAGGCTAAGCGTTCTCAGGCGATACCGATAGGTCTTCGATTCAAACCTCATGGAGGGGATCGTGGATGCACACTGCTGAAAGGTCCCATAGTTAGACGAAACGACCATGTACTGCTTCCAGATTTTTCATGATAGTCTAACTTTAATTGACTCATCAATTCAACTAGCAAATTAATATGAAATAAGAAATAATGAGTTTAATAATTTTCACTCATATATTGAATATACAAATTATGAATTTGTTTACCAATAAAGTGATTCTTAAAAGCTGATAAATTATTCGTTTCACATGAGCGATTGTATTGGCTATTGGTAAATTAAATTACTGTTTTTTGTATGTTATTGTCTGTGACAATTGCCTACTATGAGATTGAACAAACCAGCTTCTAGATGAAGATGAAATTAGTAAAAGACTTTGGAAGTGGATAGGACATACATTGTGGAAATCATCAAACTATATCACAAGGCAAGTGCTAACCTTAAACCTTGGAGTTAAACGAAAACGTGAAAGATTGAAGAGCACACTGTATTAAGAATTGAAAGCAGATATAAAGAGAATGTATAGCAACTGGAAACGAATGCTCAGGACAGAGTCAGATGTAGAATGGTGGTGAGCGGCTTATGTTCCTCCACGAGGGGTAACAAGCATAAGTAAGTAAAAAAGTTCGATGACGACGTTATGATATTACTCATTGTTTTCTTCCTTTTGATTTCTTTTTCATAAACAAGTTTTCACTATTTACTTTTAGAAGTAAGAAGTTTATAATGTCATTAGAATACTGCATATGTTTGTTTTTAATAATTATATTACAATGGTGCGTCTGTGGTGTGTTCTACTAATGTTGACAGATAATATAAGTAGTATGTATTATCAATTGAAAATGAATTGTTTGGCATCAGATGGTTAAGAAGATGGAAGAAAAGAGAACAAGAACAAAGAATGATTAGTGTGGAAATGAAAGAATATTGAAGTCTGAGACGATTGATCGATATTTTACAAATGAAGTATTATCAGCGCACTGCTGAGTAGTAACATACTAGGACGAAACAGCCTTCCAGTGCTTCCAGGTTTTTCATGGTGGTTTAGCTTTAATTGACTCATGATCTCAACCAGTGAAATGAAGTATTCACTGTATGGCTCTCAGATTTTATTAATACGATTGTCCGTACTTGTGTTCTCAATCAATACATGTCTATTAACCATAATACTTGAGTAGGATTATTTACTATACAACAGATAGTAATAACCAAATTAATATTCATCTACTTATCACTACGAAAACATAAACAATACTCATCCATCTCATAGCTATTCTACATAAGATGTCGACTGAAAATGGTCATTGAATTTTATAATTTTACTTCATTAAAATGAATAGTAATTCATTTAATCTGTGGTTTGTCTTCTATCATTGTTTTCTTGTTTTGTTCCTTTTTACTGAATCGTTTAGTAACTAACATATGCCAACATGAGAGTGATCAATCGTAGCCCTAAATACAAGATACAAGTAAAACAACACTAAGTGAATTTAAACTTTAACCTATTGCATAAGCAAGTGGCTATCAGGATTCAGTAGCTTTAAGGAAAACATGATGGTGTTTAAAGCGAACCGTATTGGGTTCGAATACCGAAGAGGAACATCAACAAGTTTGAGATGCAGGTAAATCCAGCTGACGAATTCCATATAGGACAAAACATACGTCCTGAATTCCACTGTTATCCACTATCCATCTTTGCTTCTAAAAGCTTGTGACATAATGTGATATCGAGGCAATCCGCACAGGATGTACATATACCAATAAGAGACTGATCAATTGCAGACCTAAACATCAGTAGGAAGATTCAAGTAAAACAACACCAATTGAACTAATAGTTTATATTTAATCACAATTGACTGATCACTGGGTGGTGATCAATGTCATGCATGTCAAGTCCTTATTTAGTGCAGATCGAATGCTATCGACCATGTTGCAATGTGGCCACCGGTCTAGGTGACTCGACATTGCGGGCACTATATATTGAGATTAGATGGTAGTTGGAGGTAATCGACAGGAAACCCTGAACCCGGGTCTCGTGCTCACTGGTAACGTCTCTGATTGTGAAGCTGGATGACACGAGATCGAACCCGCCAGGGAGCACCAGTTCCCTCAAGATTACAGGTACACCTTGCTGACGAGTGCCAAGTAGCACGAAACCTGGGTCCAGGGTTTCCTGTCGACTACCTCCAACCACCATCTAGTCTCAGTTTATATTTAAATTTTTTCCTCAGCAACGTATATTTGTTCAATTTTCAGTTTTTCTTAGTTGTAATAGTCGTAAAAATATTAAGTTTTTTTTTAGAAAAAATTTTTTTACTGACGGTAATTAGAAATTCCATGGTTAACACCAAACAGAATAATGAAGGTTAGCACTTTTAGGGAATCAAAAATAGATTCAAACTGCTATTTATATACATCTAGACTATATAGATATATATGTTAAGCTGTACATGTAATGAATAATGTAATTGATCAGCTGAACATTCAATGAAACAAATGCTCGCAGATACACAGTTTTGTTTATATCAGGGAGTAATCACTGTGAAATATGTAACTATCAACATAAGGGTTACCATCAAATGCCCTGATACGACTGAGAATGGGGAGAGTTCACTCTCCCTCACATGGCCACACGTATACAGTCATTTTCAGGGAAGTAATATTCACTACCTTGTCATGGTGGGAGTGTTGTTCACGTAATTGAGAGGATGATAAGTGAATGTTCGGCGCTTTAACTAGGTTAGTGGATATAAAGGATTTATCTAGGGAAGTTGGAAAACCCTGATTCCAAACCAATGGTGCATATGGACTCCAATATCCTGAAAGAATAGATGACGTATGCACCTATTGTTGCTCACCGGTTACCATGAGATTGCATCTCTTTACGTTACTCCACTGGCTTGTGGATTAGATCTGTAGGTCGAAGTCTCAGAGTGTGGCCCCCTAAGAAAATCACCTGCTTCGGTTTGGACACCCAAGCAGTAGCACACTCCTCACTCAAATCCAACGACTTGGGTAGCATATATTTATTCGGTTCCCCTTTTCTACAAATGTTTATGGGTTCGTATAAACAAAATAAATACATAATGGTTGTCGGCTTAGTTAAATGATTTTTTCAAAATATAATATCAACTAGATTGGTTAAAGAAACAAATGTTAATAATGAGGTAATATAAATTTGAATATACCTGAATTATCCTAGGTCTATAATTGCTCACATGACAAATGACAATAATAGAGAGGATGAAAAGCGAATGTCCGGTGCCTTAACTGCGTTGGTGGATATTGAGCAAAAGAAGTTGGAAAATCCTGTACATATGGGCTATAGGATCTTAAGGGAACAAATGGCATATGAAATTATTGTTTGTCACTGGCTGCCATGGAATTGTATCTCCGAATGTTACTCCACTTCCTTGTAGATTTGATCTTTAGGTCAAAGTGTGTAACCCCTTAAGAAAACCACCTGCTTCAACATGACCACTCGGACAGTATTCCGGTCCTTACAAAAATGTGACGCATATATATCTAATACCTTCTTGTAGCAACACTTAGTTAAATTATCCATATAATCATTGCAATAAAAATTTCTTTCAGAATCAACTAGTTATAATTATAATTATAAAAAAAATTAAAAGAGAAATTACTGAAATACACTTTGATGCAGTTTTGTCCTCTGAACTGGATGGTTTAGTCATGAAGCTTTCATCGATATCATCAGCTGATAATGTCGATAATGATGACAATGAAATTTCCACAATCAAACCAATCCAGCTTAAAGAACAAAACTTCATCAAAATCATTCATCTGGGCTATAAATCTTCTCTATCAACTAAAATACACTATTTGAAAAATAAAAAATGGCAATCATGCTGTGTTAATTATTCACATTAACTTCATTATGATCATAGACTAATCATTATTGAAATTATAGTTTTGTCATAGAACAAACCCGCATAGCATCTAATTATGACCTGTTTACTATTATTATGATTACTATCGTTTGCATAGACAATAACTAATTAGTATCAGAAAGGGTTAGATTGCTAAATCAAATCTAAGTCAATAAATAAATTCATAATTCAATGTCAATAGGTTTCTTGTTTATTGTCTTTAATTATGGTCATTCCAATTTCATTAATTTGATACTTAATGCGGGCTTTTATTACACACACACACATACATACATACATACATACATACAAAAACGGACAAACAAACACAAAAGACTTGTCATCATACTACTTATATTACTTTAATTAATTTAGTATCCACCATTATGAAGATTTTATTGGAATGTTGTTAGCTAACGGTACTGAGATTACTTTTTATTCATTTTATTAAAAATATAAAAAAAATACAAAAAAAATACTTGAATCTGATTGGTTGTATTTTTTCAACCAATCAAAATTAAGTAATCATTATTATGACAAAACCAATACCATGACAAATAACCGAATAAAATAAGAATTTTTTTCTAAATTTTTTTTATTTTAGGGGTTAGGGTTAGGGTTAGACAAAAGAAAAGGAAATAAGGTTGGATGGTGTGTAGGTGTGTGTGTGTGTGTGCATAATTATGTTTGTATAGTGGTGTGTTTGCGTCATTTACAGATGCCGATCACAAAACCCTTATGTCATTATTAGATATGTGTATGTATTAGGTCAAAAAAAGAATGTTTTAAAGAAAACTTCAATATTACATCATTCTGCATGTGTTACATTGTTCCTCAAATTGTATTTTGGTTGTTGTTAAGGATTACAACAGAGAAATTATAAAGATTATCAACAATATTATTGTCTTTCAAATAACTTTTATGATTTTTGTTTTACGGGATTGTTTCTATTCTATTAAAGAAGATTATTTACTTTAAAAACAAATCAAATCATTATGTTAATGGATGATGTAAAACTTCAACAATCTTTAACATTTCATGTATCCCTACCATCAATGAATTCACCAGATATGGGAATAACAGCGAATAATAACAATAATAATAATAATACTACTATTAATACTACTATTACTAATAGTAATGTGGATCCAATTTATATGAATCATAATAATAATAAAGAAAAGAATTTATCCACTACTTCTACAAGAATACAATCACCATGTTATGGAAATATTAATTCATCAACGAATAGTCCTATTACTACTAGTCCATTAACATTAGATCATTGGTCTGCTACATTATTAGCAGCACAAGCATTAGTTAGAACAAAAAAAGTATTTATTGGTGGTGTTTCTACTGGTACTACAGCTGATGAATTAAAAACATTTTTTAGTGAATTTGGTAAAGTAAGTAATAAAACTTGTCTATTTATATTGATTATTATTTATTTGATACATAATTATTATTGTAATGATAGAGAAGATTTGTAGTACAGGTAGATGATTTTAATGGGGTTTTATTCTCTGAGCTAGATGGTTTCGTTATGAAGCATTCATCGTCTTTCTGAACGACATCATTCACAGTACAAACTTCCCATAGAAGTGAAGTGTTCGAATTTCTCCAATATGTTGTTCACAGCTTGTCTTGTAGACCTCGATATCCAGGTCAGAGAACAAAACTCCACCAAAGTATGATTCTGTTTTAGTTGTTTGATTTTTTGGCATCAATTGGTCTATAACATAACCTGTGAGTCATATATGGAGAAGTTCGAACAATTCACTTCTCCCTGAAGTTTGTTTTGAGGATATCGTTTAGAAGAACGATGTAAGCTGCCGGAACAAACCATCCAGTTCAGAGGACAAAACTCCTTCAAAAATGTCTAATGATATTTGAAGTACAAAGAAATCAGTGTCAAATATTATTTTATAATATAATGGAAAGGATTATACATTTGAATAATATGTATATAAGAAATGATCCAATCATTGTGACAAAATACAATGAATTCATCGTATTCTACCAATCTTATTGTCCTTAATTTGTTTGAATTTGTGAAGAGAACCAATTATATGATCTTTGAAACTCATTTATCTTTTACAAAAAGTTATTTAATGGTTAAATTCATAAGTCGATTAAAGCTAGACCACAATGGAAAATCTGGAATCATCGGATGGACGTTACTTTCTAGTATAGGATGACTAAGCAGTGCGCATCTACGAATCCACACTCGGGATTCTAACCCAGGACCTTGAGTCCCATGCGCGAACTCTTAAGCTCTAGAATAATGAGCCGGCCGGGATCCAACGCCGTTAATGTTTAACATGAACCAATCCATGATATTTCAGCAGCGTCCATCAATGTGTTTAGTGAGTAGCTACCTCATAACAGACCCGGTTGAACTCCGTCAGTTACGGCTTCTCACTAGAACTCCAGGAAATATATCTTGAACTCAGTCACTGGTGACACACACCATGATTGTTATCAGAATGAGGGTTTGTGGAGGTTGTAATAATTTAACAGTTGAATTTGTTGCTACAATAAATAAGATTTTCAAATATTCGAAATAAATCAAGTGTAGATAAGGTTCGTTTGCCATATTTTTCTTGTATAGTTTTAATCAGTATAAAATTAATTTAGATCACAAATCATACGTTTGTGAAGCGCTTGCATGCGAGACCATTAGGCCCTGGGTTCGATTCTCGCGAGACGGGTTCGTGGATGCGCACTGCTGAGGAGTCCCACAATAGGATGGAACGGCTGTCTAGTGCTCAAAGCGATCTTCATAACACATATGCTGGTTATAAAAGACATTACATAAGAACACAAATGTCTAGAAAAGTAAGAAAAAACAGAAGATCAGTAATATCAAATACAAAAGTTTTCTCCTTTTACTTTTCTTCTCTTCTTTCCTCTTCAATAACATAAATAAGTTTCTTTTGTTATATAAATATAATGAGTGAATAGATTTACAATGGTAACTGATTACAGCTCATATAAATTGTAACTAAGATAAAGAGACTATGAAATAAGATGTTACGTAAGTAATTGGAAATGACAGTCTTGAATGTAATACAAGAATGGTAAAAGTATCTAACACATGAATCAATTCATTTTAAAATATTCACCGTCTAATATAAATTGACCATAGTGAGATTACCTCGATTTCCTTCCGTTATTGATTTTCTTCTTTACAGTTGTTATCTCTTAATTTCTAGAAAATTGTCTGGTTTTTAGGCTTTAATTAACGAATGGGAATTTGTGAAAGAAAAATGAATTCTTGATTGAGATCATGAATCGATTGATGTTGGACCACTATTGTAAACCAAGAAGCACTGGATGGCAGTTTCGTTTCAGTATGGGACTCCTCAGAAGTGCATACATGAACCCGCACTCAGGATTTGAACTTAAGAACTAACGGTCTTACGTGCGAATGCTTAACGTCTGGACTACTGAGCCGGTATTCAACGGTGTTAATGTCTAACTTGAACCAATTCACTATATTGAGCGACCATCTTCCATTGTACCGAGGTAGATACCTGTCTCCATCTGACATAAATTATGTTCATTAGTCACGATTCATGATCTCAGTCAAAAACTTAACAATCTCATAGTGAAAACTGAATTCATCTTATACAGATATATTACCTATGCTTTTTCAAGCTTATTAATGAGAGAAACTGCTCTATAATTCTCAGGGAATATTTTACATTATTTTTATGTCACAAATCGTTTGTTAAACTGCCATTAGTGTCAGTTACTATGTTATGCCCATGGAGCTTATTCTAGATTATGGACAGGCAAATTTATCCATTCTTGTTAATTATTCACTTTTCAACTTTGATTGCTTTGATATAAACGTGTGTGTGTGTGTGCTTCTTATCCTATTCATCACATGTCTGAAGCTTATTTTTGTCTGACTATAAATATCGATTCACGCTTGATTAAATCGAGTTAACTATCATTCCTTCTCCACTGCTCTCACTACGTTTCACATCACTCACTTCTATTCACTTCCTTTGCTTCGTTCATTTGATTGTCTGTCCATATCAGCGTGTACAAAACATACGTATTCAGGACTTCATTCTTGTATTTAACTTATTTAATTCCATTATTCGCTTAGTCGCTTCAAGTTGATGATTATATATACGACGATTGACGAGATGCATATTTCAATAACATTCATTCATATGATCGACTAGGAATCAGCTACCTGGCTACTAAAATACTAATCTATAAATTACGTCTTATATACATTGATTTATCAAACTTCTTTACCTAACTAATTCTTAGTCAATATAACTGACATTAAATTATTATTAATACTAGACATACAGAGAAGAAAAAAATGCAACCTGATTTTAGACATTTCGATTCTAAACTACAACAACAAAACATCATTACCTATCAAATAGACTACTTAAAACATAATTGTCAATCATCTTAAATCATTTAAACTATATTTCATTATTTCCAAATACTTCGATATTAACGTCGTATTATAGTGTATGCTACTTATATCGACAGATATAAGTAGTATATAACACTAGTAGAATGTTAAAACGTAGAAGCAGAAGGCTAAGATTAGAAAGGAATTGCGAATAGGAAGATTCAGACAGAAAGTAAAGTAGAATTGATGGAAGATTTGCAAATGATGCATTTAATGTATAATTCTTATATTTTAATCAAAATATTCAACAGTAAATTGGTCATCCTCAACTGAATCTTCGAGATGAAATCATTGGAACTAAACACAACTACTGAGTTACATTCATGTAAATACTTAAAATCAAACTAAGATTAAACTAAACAAAAAAAATATAATTTATAGATCATGTATATATCACGATGGCATATAAATGTACTTACTTACTTACTTACGTCTGTTACTCACAATGGAGAAGAGGCCACCGACGAACTCCACCTAAAGCCCCTCTGGAGATATTGCCGGTCTCGAACCCGGATAAAGGAGAAGGGTTGAGCATGGGGTTAACGAGCCAATCCCGTAGAAAACCAGAAAAATAATATAGATGTACTTAGTATGTATGCATAAAATCAAAATGTAGATTCCTATTAAACACGCTTCTGTAATGGTTATTTAATCCAAGCAAATAACGTAGTACCTTTTTGAATTGAGACATGAATGTCCTGTTCACTCAGAAATTATCTTCACTGATTGGTTTATTTAGTTGTGACGATAAGAGCTAGATTTTTATAAGCTAATATCATTAACGAAATACTCCTCGATACTTAAATAATCATATTCTTTCTCCCTGATGAGTTTATTGAAAGGTTTGAAATACAGAGTTATCCGCATTGATAGAACAGATATTTGGACACCGAATACGTGTTAATGATTGAAGTATATCAGTAACGGTAATCTTTAACCTTCTCAAAATTTTGAAGAATCATTTTAGTAGATGCGGTTGAAACTAGTGAGCACTTTTTAATTGATCAGTAATGAGAGGAAATTCCCGAAGTTCTAACGGGAGACTTTTACCACATTAAGGAAAATAAAGGTATCCACTGAAGATAATGAAACGTAATATCGACTAAACCTAGAAATGTAGGTCACTAAATCATGTATCAAGAATCTAGAGGTTAAATGTTTGCGTGCATTGACGACGTTCCTAGATTCGATCCCCGGATAAGCGGTTGTGGGTGAGCATTTCTGAGGAATCCCATGTTAGGATAAAACGACCGCCGAGCACCAGGCCTTTAGTGGTTACTGTTCATAATTTAAATACAAATCTGAAATGTCTGAGTTAATGCTCATTTTAATATCCTAATTAGCTTCTTGATCAAATAATGACTCAATACTTTGTTTCTTATTACTTTTTGTCAAGCTTTATACTTATTCTATCATTTTAAAGCGTTCGCTGTTAAGTTATTCAAATGTAATATGATAACTGGGGGCTTGAATTTTATTTCGAATGATTTCTCATTACATTTAAATAGATTACTGACTTCTGCGTGAAGTTTGTGCTAATGATGACGTTCAAAATAACGATGAAAGCTCTATGAACAAACCATCCAGCTGAGAGAACAAAACTCCATCAAAAACTTACCGACATACGTAATATTCAAAGTTTAATCCATCGGTTGAGTTCTGATGGAAACATTCCACAAACTTTTAATCAGTTCACAAGAATATTAATCATGTTTTTAAGTGATCGACGAGATTTACCTGATTGTTTATACAAAACAATAAATAATTCATTTGAATTTACCACCTTTTTCATTGAAGACAGTACATTATAGGTAAAAATAAAAAGAAAATAGTCCCGTTATTCTTTAGCATATGTTTGGCTACAGTAAGGAACTCTCAGCAGACAATGTGTTATCAGTTACTACGTTAAGCCCATCAGCTTATTCTAGCCTCTAGATAGGCCAATTTATTCATTCATCT